AAGAAGAAGAAGAAGAAGAAGAAGAAGAAGAAGAAGAAGAAGAAGAAGAAGAAGAAGAAGAGGAAGAAGAAGAAACAAAGGGCTTAAAATTGTTTCTCGTAACCGTATATTGGTTATTTTCTGCTTAGTTTCATTATATAGTAAATATTATTTACATCATTTCAATTTCATTATATAGGACTTCAAGTTTATCATTGAGTTTTGATAAAGATTCGGCTCTTTCTAGTTTTGAGGATAGCTTTGTGTCTAAACGGCTCAAAATCTCTTTAACATCCTTATCGCCGTTTGGATCGAACTTAGTAAATAGTCCTTGAGAAGTATCTAAATTAATTCTATCCGTCTCTATCCCAGTTAAAGGGAAATTTAAATCTGATCGTCTCTTTTGAAGTTCCTTTTCCATTTTGGAGCTATTAAGAGTTTTAATTTTCTTGAAGTCATTAAAATATCTCAAATCCAGCTCATATGCAAGTTTAACCAGATTATAGTATTTCTTTAGATCATTAAGCTGCTTGATTTCGGCCAGAAGATACGTTTCTAATTGAGTCCTTCTGCGAGACATTTGATCGAAGTTTAGCGAGCCCTTGATATCTCCACGTTTTGAGGAGACCAATGACGTTCCAGGAACAGGAAGCTTTGTAAATTTGAGTCTTGATTTGAATGACCGACTGTTCGTTTCGTCAAGCCATGACTTAACGAGAATTCTTTGCGTTTCGGTTACTTTTTTATTGAATTTCTTTGATTTTGGAGTATAATACCGCTCCGCAGTTTTATTGAGGGCCATCAGTAGTATTTCATCAACGGATTCAATACCCTCATCATCCAACGGCTCCCATAGCTTTTCTATGACTTTTCCTGGGATTTTTTTTTTGTTAGTTTCTGACTCTATTTGCTTGATCCCAAGAGATTTCCCATTCAGTATTTTTTGTCTCTTCTGTTCAAATGAATAGTTATCTCGAACCTGGTTTTCTAGCGGATGAGTTTTTTTATATAAACGTTTTCCCTCCTCATCAGCTCTTAATTTGTCTTGCTCCAAGTTTTCTTCTGTCCCAGTAACATTGGAGTGGGAAGGCATCACATCGCCCCGAGTGATATCTGCGTCTTTTGGATTACTCATCTCGTGATTGTCGTCCTGACTACTGGAGGTCAGCATCGTTCAATTAATGATCAAAATTTTTGATTTTTGTTGTAAGATTTTTAGTTTTATTTGGGTGGTTACGCGACTCTCAGCCGTCTATATATTGAGATGCTATATAAAAAAAGCTCATTAAATACAATAGCAATAGAGATAATGCCCAGCAAACTATCGGGCAATAAGTTTTGCATTAATTCTTAGTTCAAGAGCATTATAACATTCACGAAGGAGTTTCGAAGTAACACCAAAATCATTAGATAGTTTACTGAATAACTTCTCCTCCATGGCCGATAAATCACTCAAATTTATCTTAGTCGTTTCTAAAGCCATACTTTGTAGGATTTCATTTAGGGACAGTAATTTTGGTTCCCTGGCATTATTCAAGGAGTCACTTCTATTGTAGCTGCCAGGCTCTACATTAAAAATTTGAAATAATCTTCTCTCCATTATAGACAACTCAGAACCGGTCAGAGGCTGGTGTTCGGCACCGTTGTTTTGGGATTTATTAGTCGGAGGAATTATATTTTCATACAACCATTGACAATACTTTTCTGTCTTTGTGTCAGACCAGTTCAATAGGTCTAACTTACTTGAGGTAGAGAAAGAGTACTCACCGTTCAATTCATGCATATCTATTCTCTCCAACCATTCTTTAAGATTTATTCTGGATTCATCAAATGCAAAATGAGTTTTTATCGTAAAAATAATTAATGCTAAAATTTTCAAGTCGGGAAAGTCTATTAGATTTGAACTGCTCCTCCTTGTGCGTGACTCGAATACTAGTTCTAAGGTTTCATCGAGTTTATTGAACAACTGATTGAATAAGATAAAAAGATTTGCAGCGGAAGGAAGGATTAATGATTCAGAAAAAATTCTAAATATTAACAAATAATAGTAATTTATGGATCTTTTTAAACAATTTCCCTCTAGCAGATTTGTCCGGAAGCCATTAATCTGAATACTAGAATATAATTCATTTTTTATAGGTAAGGTTGGGGGTTGTAATAGCTGAAAGTAGGATGAGGGTAGTTTGTCTAAATAATGCTTTGGTATCAAATGTGTAGTTCTCACGTATGGGATTTTATTTGTCCTGATGTTATCTATTAGATCTCTAACGTAAAGAGGATACGCATTTAATTTTAAGACTGATAAATAGATGATAGATATCAAGTCCAATGCATTAGGGAGAACATTTTGTGGATCATTATATCTGAAGTGAATCATTTCATCAACAGGTTCTGAGTGGCTACTCCTTAAACAAAACTTCAAACACCTAAGCCAGTGAGTTTTCACTATAATCATGACATCCCCAAGAGAAGACTCATCCAACATTAATCGAACAATATGTTCTGTTTGTCGTTTCAATAATACCTGGAGACATCTTAAATAAAGCTTACGACCATCATTTCCATATAACCTTCGATTGCTATCCCTTGCTTGCATCGCTTGTGACAGTTCAAATGTCAGAAATCCATAATCAGCTCCTAGACCTCCCAACGGCACGTTTAATCTTCGAGTTGACACTATACCTTCGTCATGCTCATCATTGATCTCTACATTACCATCCATTACATGGCCATATTGGCATATTTTCATTCCATCGCTGGAACGATATAGTCGTGATCTGCAGTTATCGACACCACATATTGGCCCCTTGATCCACTGAATCTGTGACATTAGGTTAGTTAACTCATTCTTATTATCTCATCTCAAAATTTCCTTACTCAAAATGATACTCGGGGTATCACTTTGTGCAGGTTTTGACATTTAAAAGTCAACATGATGCTCCGGGACCTAAGCACCGAAGACGTTAGGAGCGAGTGCTACATGCTCCTCTCTGTTGTGCGAATATGAGAAAACCAATAAAAGTGGGATTGGTACCGCAATGGTTTGTACGTTAGGAGACCGTTTCCCCCGTTGTTCGGGGATTAGAATATTTAGATCGTTAGTATAGCAAAAGTAACGACGACCTCCACACAGCCACTCATACTTTCTGTCCTAAAGTTTTTTTTGGAATTGCAATCCATACTTTAAATGTAGTTATTAGGTTTACTCTCATACCGAAAGGATCATTAAATTGAGATACTTATTCATGTTATGCCAATACTATAAACTGAGGTAAAGATACTCAATATAGTCATATCCGTCTATCGGGATAAAGCATCGCCGATTACAACAAATTCGGTCAGGGTTGAAATACTTTGGTAGTTAGAAAGCATTGGATTTAAGAGATTTCCGACTGATATAATGTGGTGAATATCATAATCGCCGGAGATTGACGTGCCTTCACTACTATTTGTCGGTCTTAGAAACAGCACCCCCGAACCGAGTCCGGTGCAAAATTTCTTAGACCCATCTAAATGAGGGGACCCCATAGTTTTGCCCCCCCTCAGCTGGGGTTGTTGAAATATATAAAGAGGATGACACTCCCTTCAGTCACATTGTAAATTCTAATTGTCAAAGCATTTTTTAAAGTTGAAGAATGTTCAAGAATACAGTTACGAAGAATTTGATTAATTCAAAACGGGTAACCGCAAAGGCCATGTCGAGATTATATTCCAACTTACCCTTATCAGTACCGGTCACGTTACCTAATGGGACAACATACGAGCAGCCAACTGGTTTGTTTATTAACAACGAGTTTGTCTATCCCAAGCAGAAAAAGACATTTGAGGTTATCTCCCCTTCTACAGAGGAGGAAATAACTCATATCTACGAAGCAAGAGAAGAAGATATTGACATCGCAGTCGCTGCGGCAGAAAAGGCATTCAAATCTGACTGGTCTACTGGAGACCCAGAAGGTAGAGCTAGGACATTGATCAAGTTAGCTGATTTGATTGAAGCTAATTCAGAAACTCTTGCCTATATTGAAAGTTTGGACAATGGTAAGTCCTTAATTTGTTCTAGAGGTGATGTTGCATTGACTGCAATGTATTTCAGATCTTGTGCCGGCTGGGCTGACAAGATTACAGGTTCCGTGATTGAGACTGGTAGCAGCCATTTCAATTATGTTCGTAGAGAGCCGATTGGTGTATGTGGTCAAATTATCCCATGGAATTTCCCACTTTTGATGGCTTCTTGGAAATTGGGGCCAGTTTTGTCTACTGGTTGTACTACTGTTCTTAAAACTGCCGAGTCTACGCCATTGTCGGCATTGTTCCTTGCAAATTTGATAAAGGAAGCAGGTGTCCCTGCAGGAGTTGTCAATATTGTCTCTGGTTTCGGTAAGATCGCTGGTGAAGCTATTTCCCTGCATCCAAAAATTAAGAAGGTCGCATTTACTGGATCGACTGCTACAGGTCGTCATATTATGAAAGCTGCTGCTGAGTCTAATTTGAAGAAAGTTACTTTGGAGTTGGGTGGTAAGTCACCGAATATTGTTTTCAATGATGCTGATGTTAAAAAGACTGTCCAAAATTTGATCACTGGTATTTTCTATAACACTGGTGAAGTCTGCTGTGCTGGATCTAGGATCTATATTCAAGATGGGATTTACGAAGAAGTCTTAAGTGAATTTAAGAAAGCTGCAGAAAGCGTTAAGATTGGCAATCCGTTTGAGGAGGGTGTTTTTATGGGCGCTCAAGCTTCCTCTAACCAGTTATCTAAGATCTTGAAGTACATTGAAATCGGAAAAGAAGAAGGAGCTACTTGTCTCACCGGTGGTGCAAGGCTCGGCGATAAAGGATTTTTCGTTCAACCAACTATCTTCTCTGACGTTGAAGAGAATATGAGAATTGTTGAGGATGAAATTTTCGGACCCGTCGTTACTGTTAAGAAATTTTCTACTGTTGACGAAGTGGTAGACTTGTCAAATGCTTCTCAATATGGCTTAGCTGCTGGTATCCATACTGAAGACATCAACAAAGCCATCGATGTTTCAAACAGACTTAACTCTGGTACTGTCTGGGTCAATACTTACAATGACTTCCATCCAATGGTTCCATTCGGTGGTTACGGTCAATCTGGTATAGGTAGAGAAATGGGAGCCGAGGCTCTTGAAGGCTACACCCAAGCCAAAGCTGTTAGGGTCGGCATTACCAAAAAGAACTAATTTCCACAATGAAATGAAAATAAATGACCATAGTCTTTCCTAGTGCTTGTAGTGTAAAAGTTTAGATAATTGCTGATATTCTCTTGCTGGCGTAACCTTGTCGTATTCTCATATAAGTAGATTTTGCAGATACAATCCTCCTAGACAACAATACTACGAATTATTCTTTGAATATTGCTTTATTCTTTTGTGTATAAAGTGTGTAATGGGTTCTGAAATATGAGTGAGAGGGGACAGCACTTCGGGCAGCTGAATCTCTATATAATCTACACTAGCTTCTATGTAAAGAACCCTCATAATCACGTGAGTTACTCATGATTAAATTATTTTGTCTTTACCGGGCTCATTTGAGGTCCTTATATGGAAGCTCGAAAATGAAACCGGACACGCCCTCAAAGTTTTCAAATTTTTACAAACCGGCATATAGAGTAAAATTCCTGGTGCGTGCAATATAGTAAAGTGAAAGGTATCACCGCTTCCAGTGAAGAAAAATTTCAACGAAAAGTTTTTCAATACAACGTCCGTAGGGATAATACATAAATTGGATAAAAAATGGTATGTTAAATTTAAAACAGTAGCTGTGAATATGTATTTTCTCTAGCTTAGCTCACGCTGAAGGGGATTGAAGAATGATATAAGAAGGGAGCAGGGAAGAGAGGAAAATTTGATATAATTGACATAGAGATGAAACTCTAAAGCATTTTTAGGGAATATGAATTGTCTGATACGTGTGATGAAGCTTGGATTCAGACTGGACTCTTTAGCTGGATTTGCATCCATCGTGGCGTAAGACAAGAGGTCTATGGGCCACTTAAAGTTATTATGGCATGACATTGAACTTTTATATTTAGTGTTCTCGCTCTCATTATTTGTCCCTAATGACAGCTTGAGTTATAGCTTTTGAACAAAAGTGCTAGAATATATTCACTTGTTTTTTAAGCAAACTACTAACTATTTCCTAGAGTGACTCTGTTACTATTAGAACCCGTAAGGTCATTACAAATCCATTGTTGGCCAGAAGACAATTTGTTGTTGATGTTTTACATCCAAACAGACCAAACGTATCTAAGGACGAATTACGTGAAAGGTTAGCTGAGGTTTACAAGGCTGATAAAGATGCTGTTTCTGTTTTTGGTTTCAGGACCCAATTTGGTGGTGGTAAATCTATTGGTTTTGGTTTGGTTTACCAGTCAGTTGCTGATGCTAAAAAGTTCGAACCATCTTACAGATTAGTTAGGTACGGTTTGGCACAAAAGGCAGAAAAAGCATCTAGACAGCAAAGAAAACAAAAGAAGAACAGAGACAAGAAGATCTTTGGTACTCAACGTAAGGCTGCTAAAAAGGCTGCTAGAAGAAATGCTGAATAAACTGATTAAGATCATTATTAGTTCACTCTCACCTATAATTGTAAATTTTCGGGATCTTTGAATAGACAAGTAAAGTATCTATTTCAGTTTAGCCTGTGAAGTTGTAAGATGCATCTTTAATAAAAAAAATAAGATTTTTAAACTTTATACCTAGTACTGTAGATTATTCAAGCGATTCTGTAGTTTGTGTCACAACTGAAATTATTGATAACATCTAAGAACCAATACGAAAATCTTTCATATTTGCCGTATAATCATTCGAGATCACATAAATTTCAGGATGTCTGAAAGGAAAGGGATCAATAAGTATTATCCTCCCGATTGGGATCCTACGAAAGTCCCTAAAAAGCTAAAGCCAAAAAGCCTGACAATAAAAGTCAGGCTTGAAACTCCATATTCTATGAGATGCTTAAAATGTGATGAATATATCGGTGTTGGAAGGAAGTTCAATGCCAAGAAGGAAATAACAAAGGAAAAGTACTTGAACATGAAAATACTTCGAATACATATAAGTTGCCCGCACTGCAATAATCCCATAACTTTCAAGACGAGCCCTCAAACAGCCGGGTATGTACCTGAGACAGGCGCAAGGCGAAACTATACACCAAAGCAAAGTATTTCAAAGGTGCCAGAGGACCACATTGAAACAGAAGATGAGATATTGTTGAGGCTAGAAAAGGAAGAACAAGAGAATAAATCATATCAGATTTTGAAAGAGAAAAGAAAGAAGAATCCTTTTTGGAAACAAACGGAATCTTTAAAAGACAGCGATGGCAACATAATGGAAGCTTTAGAAAAAAGGTTGGACGAGCAGGTACGACAGCAACAGTTGAATGATGAGTTGGAAGATTTACAACATCGAAGTTCCAAAATACAAGAGCAAGGAGGTACTGATATGTTACTCGATAAAGCCGAAAAAGAGATGGCATTACACCACCAAGCTCTGCTGTCTCAAGATGATGAAGATGTCAAGTTAGCAATGAATGCATTTAAGAATTTGGATTCAATAAGGACGGATTTGGGCTTCAAAGCCCAAAACAAGCAGCATCTAAAAGGGAGGGGCCAATTCCAAAAAATCAAGGTTAGAAGAAAAGAGAATAGTAGAATTGAGTCTCGTAAGCCGGAGGAAGAGGAAAAAGATCCTATTCAGCTAATTGGAGGCTATAGTTCGGACACAGATGAAGAATAGTTACTTTCTCATCAATTTAATAATTTGGTTGCAAAACTTTTCAAAGACATATATATATAGACACAAAAAGATTCTGAAGTAAAGCTTATCTTTTTTTCTAATAACGAGTAGAATAGAAATGTTAGGTATAATTTCAGTTTGTATGATAAGCGGATGGGCTGTTGTCTCTATATCTAGTTCTGTAACGTTCTATGTAAGGCTCAGAAGAAACCAAATAAGTAAAGGATATCAACAGGAAGTTTTCCGTGAGGTGGCAAAATCAAGGGCATTAAAAGGTTCGAAGGAAACTAACGTCATTATATATCGGCTCAAGCCAGAAGAGGGGTGTTCCAGCTCTATAATAAACGTATTTAACTTAAACAATGGGTGTTTGCAATATCGTTTTATAAAGCCAAAAAATCAAGTGAATCACGAAATTAATCTTTATTGGCAGCAAGAATTCGTCCTTCAGGAAATTCCAGATAAAGGAAATTCAGCTATTATATATAGCGCTTCGATTGGAAAAAGTGGTTACATTGAATTCCAGAGAAATGCAACTACTAATCTAAAAAAAGAAAAAGTTCCAGTATATCAAAGTATCTTGAATCGCTTAAAGCTCTTAAGATCAGAGGACAATAAATCTCAAAATAACCACCAAGACGAAAAGATATACATTTCTTCTAAACTTGGTAATGAGCTATACGAATTCAAGATTTCCGGGGTTGATCAAGTCAACGAAGGACTGAAATTTGTTTACAGGTGGAAATCTTCGACAGGTATGTTAAAGAAAGTAAGTAGATTTGACAACTACAGCAATATGGCGGTAGCGGCGATAAGAGCAAAACGAGGTACTCATGATTTTGAGGTTGAAATAGACAAATCTTTGATGTTTATTGACATTGTTTTATGTACGTCACTAATATTTAATTCAAATTGATGAAAAATTAGTTATAGTAAAAGTCATTCAATGTTCCCGTAGGTAAAGAAGGGGGCTCAATGCTTTTATGATAATCCTCTTGAATTGTTATCAAATGCGAAATGACCTCATTCGTCGTAGATTTATCCATATCCTTACGACACAAACAAATACCTCTAATGTATTCTACCGAGCAATAGTAAAAAGACCCCAAAATCTCATTTTCCCACATTTGAGGAATGAAATCTAAGGGGTCATCACATGTAGCCAAATCTCCTAAAAATTCTATCGCTCGCAAGCTGTTCAACAAATAAGCAGAGTCTTTTCTAGTAAAAAGAGACTCGAGCCCTTCATAAAATATGGTAACATCCCTTCCAACGCCTTCACTGAAAGATTTAAACTTTTTCACAGCCTTAGGGTCTATCTTTTTGCCAGATCCATGTAAGATATTTTCGTACCCAATTCTTATATAAGCAGAGATGAAAGTATCTAATAGAATGTTGAATGTGACCAGATAAATGTCATAGGAAGCATAACCCCTCAATTCTTCCATGTACTCAGCGATTGTCTCTACTATCTTCTCTGCCATGTTTGGTTCATCGGATTTCTGAGATTTACCATCATCATACCATGATTTTGAGAATACCGTTGACAATGCTGGATACAAATCATTCACTATTATATCAACAATTGTTCTAATTACCTGCGCATTAAGCTCAGTACTAGGAGTTAAAGTATCTTTGAATGCTTGTTCAATTCGCTCTTGGTATGCTGTGTGAACCTTACTCATATAATTAGGTAGAAATTTATCTTGCAAGCGATCTGTATTGATTTCATAGGTATTACCCAACGCTGTCAAATATTCCATTAAACCTTGCCTTGAAATTTCACTGAGCTCTTCGCTGGTCATATTATCTAGATCAATAGGTTGCTCGGGAGCCTTTCTTCTGAACAATCTCTTCGTTTTGCTCTCTTTGATCAAGTACCTCTCGTTATTATATATTGACATATATTTATCATACTCTTCTTCAATGACCTCTTGGTAATTAATTGCTCTTTTAATATAGCAACGAGACCAATTTTCAATCACACCAACAAGAATCTTTGAGTAACCAGAATCTGCAGCCACATCTGCTTGTTCTTTCAACATAGTAAGGGGCGTCTTGAAATCAGGTAAAACGTATACTTCTCCATCAACCTCTAGCAAAATTAAATTATCTTGAGCGTCTTCATCCTCAATAACCTGGTGATACGTGTAAAGATCAGGAGGATCTTCTCTTTCTATAAAAGTTTTCGTTTCTTGTTGAATTAAATTTTCATTCCATTCCTCCATCTTCGCTACTATTACTGCAACGTAGTCTTCAAGGACAACATTCTTCAAGTCATCACCAATAATTGATTTTTTTTCATTGATTGTATTCCTAGACAATTTCTTAGGATTCACTTCCTCATCTGAGGGAGTGTGAAGAGCCACCACGAATTTACTATAATGAGAGTCATAGCTAAGTATTTTAAGTAAGTCTTCAGCCGGCGGATCAGTTTTGACTATTTCCATAGTAAAGTTATGTAGTTTATCATAATAAACGTTTTCGATAAAAGAACATACCCCCCAATTTGCCGGAAAATAAGGATCTAATGTATCAACAACAAAAACCAATTCATCTTCAAGCCAATTCAAATTGTCAAATACGAGCATCTTATCTTGACTGAAGTGCTCAACGCACATTTCAAATGTTTCAATTAAACTTTCTTTCAACTTATCAAAAAAAAACTTATGATAGTTTCTTTTGAATCCTCTGAAATTAGCATAATCTATAACTCTGATATCTCTACTATTATCTAGAGAGAGTTTCTCCATCAACTCTAATTTGAGATCTTCCACTGTCTCGTATTCTACAATATTGATCAATTTACAAACCAACTCAGTGTTACCTTCTTTTAGGGCCTCAGTGCAGCTTATTATAATTTCTTTGAAAAGTTCATCAAAAGCAATAATTATCTTTCTGATAGGAGAAATTATTCGTTTCACGATTGATTTTAAGTCATCTGTCAAGGTACTTGAATTTCTCTCTAGGTAATCCTGAAAATTTCTGACCTGAGTCAAGTTATAATGTATTTTCAATAAATTTGGTAGGGTGTATGACGTATCTTTCGTTACTTGATCAAGCTCTTCTTTAATCATTCCGTTGATGTAATCACAATATGACTTTACATTTGAGATGTCGCCATACAAGTTCTGCACTTGAGCAAAATATTGATTGACTGCTGTCATTTGCTGAATAGTGGAGTAGTTCGGTATATTTGTTATAGAATCCTCATATATCTGATTGATTTTATTTAAATTTGCGTTAATGGATGTTAGCTTATTTGCGGAGTCGTTCAATTTTTTTAAATTAGATGTCACCGTATCAATTTGGACCTGTGATGTATTATTCAATTTGACGTCTATTGATGCTTTTTCTTTTATAAACTCCTGGCGTAATGACTGGACTTTAGCCAAATCATCTTCCACCTGAATCATATGTGCTATTCTTGATAGTGCTGCATCACTCATTGTTCTTAGGTATAATGTATGTAATTTAGCTGGTCTATAAAATTGTTGATATCTATATTCAAGTTCAATGAGACTGCACATACCAACTAGTTCTACATGTTTACCATTAAATTCTCACTAAAAACAGCTACTGAGATTGATCCAATTTGAAAGTATGTTTTCAAAATATAACATCCCTATTTACATAAGCGATATAGGTAGAGGAATTGTAGACAAACTTCGACATAGTTATCGAGAAATTCAATTCAAGATAAGATTTTTACGCAAACTTCCTTTACGTAAACCATGCCACTGCTATTTCCAGTGTGGATCAGCCAGCTCTTAAGCTGTCATAATTCAAGAGTTGCCACCTCTTTTATTGTTATTTGTCGGGTTGGGTTGGTTTTGGTTATGATGACCGTTATATCTTCTGTTTCCATGGTAAAGATGATTATTATAACTAGAATGAGAATTCTGTCCAGCATAATGAGGTGATGTTCCTCCCATTACTAAATTTCCATTCACAGGGCTTCCTGCCGAGCTTCCAAAACTTCCTGGAGGAGGTATGAAACTAGTCGGTGGCAAAAAGGCAGAATCTCCGGCAGCATACATGGGGATAGGTGGCTGACCCATGGGTCCACTTCCTCCGAATTGTTGTTGATACATCATCGCTGCATGAAACTGTTGCTGTTGTTGTTGTTGAAAGTGGGCAGCCATAGCCGCAGCAGCTTGCTGCTGTTGAGGTGATAAAGGATACTTACTTCCATTAGGTGTAGGATAGCCACTTTGAATGTTGGGAGTTCCTGTCAAAGGGCTCTGTATGAAGGGAGATGTAGACATACTAATTCCAACTCCTTTGTTCAGAGTAAACGGGAATAACTGGTCATACGTTTCATCGATAGTATAGTCCCAAGTAGGTGGGGTTTGAAATGTCTTCTCAAATACAAGAGGTACATTCTTCTCATCCAGGATCTTTCTGGCTGTCACGAATAAATTAAATGCAAATTTAAAATCGTTAGTCTTCTCTTTCTGTCCCTCCTCAGTGGGAACTTTGTCAGTTCCTCCGAAGAACTCAGATGCGGAAATTTGGTGGTGTCTTTTGGAGTTTCCACCGGTATTATTTCCAATTGAAAAGCCACTAGAATATGGCCTAAGATTATTCAACCTGGATGCTTGGTTATTCGGTGACCTTATATACTTAGGAGGATTGGGCAAAATTTGAGTTTGTTTGCTCGAAGGGGTAAAAGCTGCTGCTTTCGGGTTCAACTTGAAAGCAGGCTTGCTTGGATCCAACTTTTTTCTAGCAGCTTGACTTTTCTGATTCTCCTGTTGTTTCAAAGCCTTCTCGATCTCCTGTTTCTTTAAGATTTCATCTTGCTTAATTTTATCCTTCGTTAAAATTGGCAAGAGATCTGTAGGCATTTTATGAGGGATCTTAAAATTTGCACTGAACTCACGTAAAGAGTTAATTTCACTCTGAGCATTTAGTCTAAATGACTCCATTTGCTGACCAGCCACAGGAGGCTTAGGAGGTATAGAATCCGGTTTAGATGTACCCAATTGGTTTTTGTTATGTTCAGATTTGCTCACATTTATTTTAGGATCACCTTTTTTAGATGTATTGTCTGCCGCAGAACTAGAAATTATTGCTGGGTCATTGTGATAATGCGCTGCTCTCTGTCTTGGAGGTACATATTTACCTGGACCCTTAAGTAAGGAAGCAGAATCTTTCGAAATGCTAGAGCTTCTTAGTGCTGCCATTAATTCGTCACCCCTTCTATCAACTCCAGAATATTTATCCTCTTCATCAAGCCCACTATCATCTATTTGCAACCCTCGCTCTTCCAAGACGTGGCGATCATTCGAGACCAGGCCCTCTATTTCCTTAGCTAATCTTTCGGCACGCTCCAATTTCTGCTGATAATCGGGAGCTGATTTATCAATTCTAGTTGTATACAAGTGCTCATCATAAGTTGAGTCAACGCCAAATCTCTCCTCATTAGCTTTGAATTGGTCCCAATTTCCTGTGTTATCGTCCTCGAGAGAAAAGGTTATATCGTTGTCAGTTTCGTCGGGGACCCATCTTTTGAGCTCTCTTTGCTTGATTTGAGTTTTTCCAGATATATCGGTATCTGTTTTAAACTTTGAGTCACTACTCGTTTGGGAAGTAATTGTAGCAGCCGAAGGAAGCTTTTTGAATGATTCGCCGGCATCTAGATCGTTGAGTTCTAGTTCAACTAAATCCTTAGCTTCAATGATCATTGTTTCAGGAAGATCATTGTCTACGTTACTCGTTTCATTGAGCAATCCCTTTCCAAAAGACGTCGGGTTTCTTAAGACCACAGAAAGTTGAGATTTACCAGAAGATGCTATATCTCCGTTCACTAACAATCCTTGATATTTCGCACCAGAGGAGACCGTAGCAACACATTGCTGACCGAGGCCCTTAGCGATTAAATGTAATAATCTTTCATCTCCGAGCTGATCGTTATCACCATTCTGTTCATTAGGATTGTTGTTCAGCCTTGTTTGAGCATGACGCCCGCTTGTTTTTTGACTCACGGAACGATTATGGTGTGCCCTCATATCTTGTAGTCGAAGCCACTATTAGTTGCTCAGTTTTCTGCTGCCCTTATATCGTCAAATAAGTAAAATTGAAAAGCTGCGTATGCCTAAATTACTTGGTATGTGAATAAATTTAAACAGCCAACAAGCGTCAATTTTACACAGTTGTAATAATTTGGGTATGAATGAAATATGTGACTCCACTGAAAACGTAAAACCTAAACAAAAAACTAAAGATATCCTAGCAGTATTAAGTGCTCGCTTTCTTAGTGACCTTGAAAGTATAGTTTGGAGAACTTAAAGTTTTTTAATATTAATTATCAAAAAACTCAATATGAGCGATAGTGTCCCTTTTATCTAGTTCCTTATTTCTTTTTGAAATAGTGATACTTATGAAAGATATGAAGACTAGCTTTATATATGACTTCAAGCCTGACACCACCTTTTGTTGTTGATATCTAAGGGAATTCGCACCTACACGTAACGTCATTGAGGTCCGGGTAATCATAATTCATGCTACAACAAATATATAGTCGGCTTAACAGCAGATTGATTCAATACCAAGGCCGATGTTCACAGAGTCAACAACTGAATCCCAATATAACTTCACAAAGTCTTTGGCAAACTGTAGGTCTTGCTCAGAATAAGGATCGAGCTCCATATCAATTATATCTTGATATGTCAATTCGATACTAATTTTATTGGATTCCAATGAACGCAGAAGTAAGGATTCAGTATCACTGAAGTCTTCATGAGTATTGCTATCTGATGACTGCTCATCAAGCTTCTCAGTGATAATTTCATTTATCAAATAGAACCACTTTCTAGTAAGTTTATGGAAACTTCCAACAATACCTATAATTTGATGTAGTTTAAATCGATTCGATGAGTTACCACTCAGTGACGGTTGTGATTCTTCATTCTGAATTTTATTATTATCTGACACTTGGCCAGCACTTGCAAACCATGAGAAGGCTGACCAAATATATTCTCTCCATGATATAGGAGAAGTGGCCGATTTGAGCCACCACGCGGGTTCCAAGTCGGATATTTGATCTTGCGTTTTAAAAAACGAAAGGAGTGAATTGGAAGTCTTTATCGAGGCAATATCGTCTGCTGACGAATTCCTCCTTCTGGAATCACAAACGGAACCCAAACTTCTATATATTATTTTAAATTTTTGGTAGTCCTTCAAGGTAGATTTGATTCGCTTATTAAAGTCCAAAGAGATTGTTCCAATATCGAATGAATTCAATATTATAGTGTTCTCAATAACGTTTGATGGCAAAAATACCGCCACATCGAAAAGGTCCTTATGGTACATCAAGATGTCATCACTTGTAGATCCAATCCAATTACTAGATTGAAGAAGCTCAGAATTCATATCTTTTAATCCTATGTTGTAGACAGGTTCGGAGGAGACCTTAAAATCCTCGCACTTGACTACCTTTTCTACATCTTTGGGTACCATTGAAAGTAAAGATAGCAAATAAGTGAATGCTCCAACTGTATAGCAGTCAACATTAGAAGCTGTGTTGTTGAAGAATACGATCTTTTTCCTTAGTATGCATTCCTTGTAAATCACGAATACTAGGGGTCCTAAAATATCAAATAGATCGTACATTTTATTCAACAAATGATTCTCTATTGCAGCGGGGCTACTGGGAAAAAGCGAACTTGTCAATTTGTCAAACATATCTTCGAAGATAGAAATATCATCAAATCTTGCGTCATTCAAAAACTTAGTAAGATTTGAATCAAGAATGTCGATATATTCCCATCCGTTTTGAATATATTCATTAGGCTTCCATGACATTTGGTGAGGCTCGCATATTATACCCAATGAATACATTTTGATATTGTCACGATTTAGCTGTTCGTTGGCTTCATTTAATTCGTTAGCTTCATTATTACCCCCAAGAACTCGTTGTTGAAACCTTGCAATACCATGATATAACTTACCATTCTGTCGATGAGATATAAGTATGGTGCTGGAGGCTGTATCATGTATTCCAGAAGGTAGGACTTTATAATCTAAGGAATTAAAGTTTAAATTATCTTGAGTTGATTTTGACCATACAAGCTTGTAACCAGACTTGATATCGAATTGAGCTAAGAATATCCCTACTACTTTCGAGAGCTTCGGCTCTAGCCTCTCAGCGGTATTGTCACTTTCAAAGCTTAAGTTGTCCATGCTTGAAACAAAAACTAGTAATGGAACGAGTGAGTCTTTTTTCTCTCTAATTTTTGTTTTGTCTCGTTATTAATGATCGTATAATTTAATGCTAACAACAGTACATAAAAGATAAACCAGATGAACCAGATGAAGTCATCTAAGCACTCTAACGATAAATCAAATGTAGGCCCAATATATAAGGACGAACGTTAACTGTAGACCAAAAATTAATATGTATCGACTATAAGATGGTTAAAAAAGTTAAAAGTTGAATGTGCATTAATACCACATATTGAGTTCTAAAGATAGAAATCTATTTATGATGTTGAAATTTCCTACTTGATTCATATAATCCCTCCTAGAAAGGATTGATTGACAAATGTTAAAAGTCAGAAAGATGAAACACAAACCTTCATTCACATGCTCAATTTTAGAAGCTTCTAGTCTTGGGTGAAAGCCTACGTTTTCGTCAGCTCTCATCCCCTGATTCTTAGTACAAAGTTAATTATCACCGCTATCAATAAGAAGAAGGAGAGCATAGTTGGACCAAACCTGTCGTCATATGGCCCCGTACCTCTTAATCTGATCGCCTTAGCTCTCCAATGGTACGTAATTAATGCATATACCATAGTCAACATAGCAATGAAAGTGAATAAACCGGCAGAAATACGACCTATAGAGTCTCCAAAGTTCAAAAGACCAACACCTAATGATCCTAATATTACAGTGAAATTGAGCCATGATAAGAAAGTTCTTTCATTAGCAAAGAAAACCTTCGGTTCAACCCTTGCCGGCAAAGCAATTCTTTTGTTTTGTGAAGACATTAAGTAACTTCAATTTCAGGAGTAGTATATGACGAAGTAAACTATAAAATATGTTCAGAGAAAGGAACTTATAGTATCATTTAATTTATTCGCACGTGGGTCTAGATGATCTCCCAATGAGTATGAACCTGCAAATACTCATTAACAAAAATGCAGGAATTATCATCGTAAATCAAGGCTGCTAGAATACAACTTTAGACAAGTTTTATCTCTTACACCATTACATGTTATTTCATAATTGTAATTAGTAAGAGTATATTCATTTAAAATCTACATCAACTAAATATAGTTCATTAGTATTAAAGTTACATATTACTTCTAACCTATTAATCCTGCTTCGTCAAGAAGAAAGGGCGAACAGTGATGTATGAATTACCAGAATTAGCCACACCTGCAAATGCATTATAGAACCCAATAAAGGCAGTTATAACACCAACAACGCCACCAGCTCTTGTCACACCAACTTTTCCAGAAAAGGCGCCACCTGCTAATAAAATAAATGTTAAAAATAATGAAAAAAATAACAGGGCAAAAGCTACCGTAGATTTCATAGTGACGAGGAACAACATGAATGTAAACATACCCCAAGCAAGCAAGAAAAAACCAATAGCATTTTCTAGCTGTGTCTCATCATCTCCATAAGCGGATACGATTCCAAAGTTCTCAATATTAATAGCCGCATAACTAACCCAAAATGCACCATAAGAGGTTAATGCTGTAGCACCAAAAGTATTTGAAACAAGAAATTCATAAACACCTGCCAAAAATTGAACGGCACCTCCATAGAAGCATGCCAATCCAACGACAACATTTGGTATTTGAATTCCCATGGCTTGAGCATTGTACATAGACAATACAAAGGTAGTCATAGAAAAAGCAGCTAATCCTAATGGCGACGGATTACCAAGTTTGTGTACTGGGTATGGTGCTAAACCTGGATTCAAGGAACCACCAAATGCACTCATCAATTCATGACGATAAAACTTTTGGTTTCCTAAAATAATGAACTCATCGCCCTCACCGTGTAGTTTAACAGAAGAAACCTTGTTATCCTTATTATCTTTTTCGACGGTTGAAAGTGAATCCTCCTTGGAGTGAGATGATCCTGCTGAAGACATGGTTATGTTTCTCGTACAATAATGAATAAATTTTCTTAGTCAAACTTTAGATTGAATATTATTAAGTTGACAAGAGCAACTTGATATTGATGTTCTTAATACTGTAGGCGTAATGCGAGACTTTTCGAGTGCTATAATACTAAACTGAAAAACCAGATTGACAAAAACTATCACAAACAGTAAGAATTTATTCTAACATTGCTTGAAAGGGACCAGGAAGGGGTCTTGGTTTATATAATGCCTGGTGCGCCCCCGGCCCCCCTCCTTTCAACGCTTTTTCGCATAATACCACCCTCGGCCAAGAAGTACACAAAGACAGAGATCGAATTTATATAATAATGTCATTCCCCACAAAATAAAATAAATGAAGGATATCTGAATGCCTATTGGCTGAAGTTCCGATCATTTCGAGACTGCTTACATTTCGGAGGTGGTGAGACGAGCACCGAATTGATGTAGAATACTTCAGAATAATTTTACCACCCCACAAAAAAAAAATACATGCAGGTATTAATCTCGGCAAGCGCTAGAAACATTTTAGATCCCCTCCATAACGATGTATTATGCTTTACTCCCCTCTAGTTTTTTTCTGAGATTTGTTGACTTCTTGGCTCACCTGTATGTTGATGAGAAAATTGCCTCTAGATACCCCGGAGTCATCGAGTCAGCGCTATGCTCTAAATATTTTCATGGCTAGATGTGGTGCTTCCCCACTTATTTCGGAGCCCACGCCCTGAAGTGATGCTCCGAAATATACAATATGCAGAACAATGATCAAGTGGGGGGCCCTTATTTAGGGCTCACGATAACAGATATTACTAGTCTTTTAGTATTACAATAAATACGCGTACATAAAGTGAAGGAATGTTATTGCTTATACTGTCTCTCTTTTACTGAATTCCCTCAGAAGATTCTTGAATGTCTTCTTGCTTATACCAGTGTGCTTGAGAAATATTTTTTTGTAGAGAAGCACCACTTTATCAAATACTAAATGTTCACAGGATACCATAATGACGAGATTCAAAAGAGCACAAATCAATATTAGCCAGTAGAAGCCACGCGAGAGATTTGTAAGCTGGAAGACTTGACCCCACCATGAGTCACTATCGATGGTAAACAAGCAAATAGATATCACTATCGCTAGAACAACATTGACTGTAAAAGGACGATTCTTGTGAACTGGTTCTCTGTAGGGTGGACCCCTGCTCAACACGATTGCAATCAATATGTATTGAAATGTCGTGAACAAAAACAAGACGGTATTGTCAGAAGACTGAACTTCGTCATCACCTCCTGGTACCGGTTTAATATACCAGGGTTCTTTTTGAACTTTGAGCCATATAGAGGTTTGGAATAGGAGAATAATGAGTATATGACCAATCATAGGAATGAGTACCTTAGGGGACACTAGGTTAGCAGTAGGTCGCTTGGGTATGATCTTAAAGTATGGCTTAGACCATGACATAAAAATAGCCAATGGTAGAATAAGGAAAAGATCAATGTACAAAAACTGAAAGTCACCTAAGTTTGTCCCTCGCTGATACAATATTGTAACGGAAACAAACTGTATTGCTGAATACAACGACATATACTTGAAACAGGCAAAGCTAGTGACCAAACTCGATCTTCCTTCTTTGATGACGTCCAAAACACACGATATCTCAAAGACCCTTGAAGTTATAGGAGCTGCAACCGATGCTTCTGCCTCTGATAATGAGACCCCCACATCTGCGGCCTTCAACGCTCCACAGTCATTTGCTCCATCCCCACAAAACCCAACCGTGTAATCAATCTTTTGCAACTGTTCTACTAACTCATGCTTTTCATCAGGAGACATTCTCGCAAAGATATCACACTTCATCAAAACATGGTGGATAATGTAGCTATCCTTTACTTCTGTGAGCAAATAACGGAATATATCACCAGTGATTGCCAATTTATAATCCAAAGACTCTGACAAATCAAGAGGCTGAAAACTCTCTGGGTCTAACTTCTTTTCAGAATCCAAGAAATGAGACCATGTAATACGATAACCAATTGTAGTTTCTTCGAGCGATGGGATGTATATATCTTTACATGATGCATCAATTAATTTGCATTCTGTGCCGACGCTAATCGCAGTCAAAACATTATCACCGGTACACATTACAGTACGAATATTTGCATTTTTCAATTCCATAATCGTAGATGTTGTTGAGGATTTTAACTTGTTCTCAAAGATTATAAAGCCAGCAAAATTTAAACCTGATTCTGAAGCCTCTCTAGATAAATCTTCGGCAATTCTTTTGTATGCACAAGCAATTACCCTATAGCCACCATGAGTATATTGGTGGAGCAATTCACTATAGTTCGAAGGTAACGTATCAGGATCGCATATATCGCATATAACTTCAGGTGCCCCTTTTGTGAATACCATCTTATTATCGCCTTGCATTGCAATAACTGACATTCTTCTAAGTGATGAAATAAACTCGAATTCCTTGATGACGCAGTAACCTTCGCTCCTATTGTAATCAGGGTATACCTGGAAGCCGGTACCAGTTTCTTCAAATTTCCACCCACTAAAGGAGAACATCTTATAATCAAGCGGATCCCCAAGTAGCTCACCTTCAAGCAATTTCAAAGAATGGCACGTAGCCATACATCCCAACAAGTACAATCCATTATTCAGTTCATGATCTTTCAAAGAATGTATCTTACTAAGATCTTTTGGTGATGATTTGATATCCTCGAAGATGATTTCTTTTCTTCCTGAAGCGCTTTTAGTCAAGTGGGCTCCTAAAACATCTAAACCATCCTCAGTCAAAGTCCCTGTCTTGTCAAAGCAAAGTACATCTAGTTTTCCGCCGATGTTAATTTTTGTGGGTGCAATGCAATATATTTGTAGACGCTTCAACCTATTAATGGCAAATGTCGTACCAATTGTCAACGTTGCTGGAAGAGCTGGAGGTACAACAATAGTTATGATGTCCAAAGCTCTTAAAGTCATCACTTTTTTGGAAATTCCTAGTTGAATGAAGTTATAGGTAGAATAAATAAAACCCATAGCCGCAATTAAAGTCATGAAGCCAATGTACTTAAATGAATCTCTGTAAAACTTAAACCCTGTCGGCTTAGGAAATAACATTGATCTTATCAAAGATCCCTTGGTGGTATTGAAACCGGTCTTTAGAGCCATTCCGATAGCAGGTTCATCATTTGTTGACCTTGTCTTTAAAAGCTTGGTACCACTATATAAGAACGACTTGGCTAACAATGGTGAAGTAAAATCATCTGTTAATGACTGGAGAGTATCGTGGTTTGCGCTAACTTTTGCGACAGGCACACTTTCGCCCGTCAACATAGATTCATTTACTATACACTCTCCATTGAGAAGTAATGAATCGCATGGAAGCACATTTAGTGAAGGATCAACTTCAAAAACGTCTCCTGGAACAAGCTCTGTAGATTCAATTTGCTTCCAAAATTCATTTCTCCACACTCTAACTTCACATGTAAATCTGGATATATTTTGCAATCTTCTCATTGTAGATTTTGTTTCTATCAAGGTATCAACAATGGAGGCAACTGATATTAGAAATATACAGCTTGCATAGTAATAATAGTCATCGGCCAACCACAAGAATATCGAGAAAATTTGAAAAATATAGAACGGGTGCAAAATTTCCTCTGAGAGCAACTGAGAAATGGGTTTTTCCTCAATTTCTGTATTATTTTCTCCAAAGATCTCAAGCCTCTGCTCAAATTTAGATTGAGAAACCCCATCTTTGATGTTTTTCATATTCAACCAATGTAAGTCGTACCACCTTGAATTGCTCTTAAAAATACCCTCCACGGGATTGTAAAAGAATTTAATATAGCGGTAGGTAAAGCTATGTATGTAGTGGACAATCGGATCATTCTCTTTTATTCCATTCCCTAACAGATCTTCCACTACCGTTAAGAAATTAGACAACCTTTCGTTGTATTTTCTTCTTTCAACATTAATAACAGAAAGTTCACCGAATTCATTTTCCACAACGCACCACTCAGCTTTACCTAACGGACATCTGTTTCCTGTCAAGTTTATTCTGTATTTGGGTAGCCAACGCAATATTAAGTAGCCAATACCTAAAGTGAAGAAGCATATTAGATAATAAAGAAATTTCTTCAAAAGGGAATTGGAATAACCTGCAATACCGATTACTAAATCTTCTTCAGCCAAATAAAATCTTTGGTATTCTGCCGTCGATAGGAAAATGTTTTGGCTGTCATCAACATTGTTATGAGATATCAAACTTTCACTTACTGACAAATTACTTTTATCGGAATCAGAATCACGTCTACGATGGCGATCGAAGCGTGAACTCATGGAGCCATAATCACCGTCATCCGGTGACTGAGTGCTATGAAGACTAGAAACAGATTTGGAAATATCTTGCTCCAAAATATCGTCATTGTTGTATTTACCTACTGAATACTCCCACTCAGTATTATAGTCAACGGGATCTTGGGGATTTTCAAGTGTAGAGCCACCCGGTGCCTGTTCTATTTCATGTGGGGAAAAAAATTTGAATTTTGCTTGCGTTTCAAACGAACTTGATGTTGCATTAGACCCAACAGATCCTAACTCAACTTGATTATCATTCTCTAACAATAGAGAAACCTCGTAAGAAACCCCAGATCCCTGGCGACTCTTTAGATTACCAAATTTATGTGGGTAGTGCAATGAGGTAATTGATGACGGCATTATCTCTGAGGCAGCCCCAGAGTACATTTCGTGGTTGTTATCATCTAATAAATAGTTCGTAGAAGAGTCGAACGATGTCACGGAGCCATGCCTCACCCTTCGTCTATCTAAAGAAGTAGAGCCTCTGCTCCTTGATGAATTCTGTGACCTCCTACGAGCTCTATCCCTATCTCTGTCCATTTTTAGCCAAGACCCTACTTAGACATGCTAAAACGTCAATAAAAATTCTACATCAAGGAACTTATCAGTTCTTGCGATGTTGCATCACGTGACTGTGAATTTGTACTATAACAAAGCATGAAGACGGGTCTTAAGCTTCATCCTAACAGAGTAATATCAACCTTTTTACATGGCTATAAAATTAAAGATTAAGGCACCGCAATCGGAGCCATCGTCTAATGTTGGAGGAACGTCTACTAAAGACAAGAAGATCAAAATTAGGCCATTGTCTAAGTTGAGTAAAAACCTGAATCAAAAAAATGCTAGAACCAAAAAACTCAAGATAAATTTGCCAATAGGGTCAGGAAAACGTAATGAAAGTTCCAAAGAGAGCTCTTTTGGTGATAACTTTGCCGATCTTCAACCAACTCGAATTGTACCAAAAGTTCGAGTGAAACCTACTAGGGTACCAGGAGAAGGATACGACTCTGAAGCTCCAGACTTGGAAGATGACCCACTCATCGAAAGTGGCATAATAATAAGGTTCCTAAATGATCCTAATCTAGACTTCGTTCATAATGCTTTACAATCTGGAGATCTAACCGGACTAAACATAAAGTGGCTTACCAGTGAGAAGGCACTAGTTCATGTGAATGGCACCATATATGCTGGTCGACTAATTGACCTTCCAACGATCACGGAATTCTTCAAAACAATAGACAAAAAGAATCTTTTCAAATCTCTTGATGTATGCCAAATTTTATTGATTTTGCATCTGGTGAATACTAAGGATTTAAATATGGAAAGAGACTTCGAAGTTCCCCAAGATATTTTGAATTTCCACCCATTATATAAGCTTTCTAAGGGCGGATTAGTTCCAAGTAGGCTTACATATAAGAATGGGTTATTGAGTCCCTATGAAGATGTATACCGAAGGTTCAGAGCACGGAAAGTAAATCATAGAGTGATGAACGATATTGAAGCTAAGGTAAATGAATTGATAAGATTAGATGATGAGGCTGAAGAAAGTCGCTTTGAACTAGTAGATCCAAACAAAGAAATGCAGAGATTTACTTCAGCAAGTAGGTCTCCTTCGGTGGCGGCAGATACAATATCATCTCTGCATGAACCTGTGTACTTTGACGAACAAGCTCCTGGAGTTAATGAAAACCTCGAAGTGGACTTGGAGGCAGATCTCGAGGAGGAACTTACCAGAGCCCTCGAGAACGACGAAGGTGAGGTAGATTTGGAAAATTCTGAAGTCTTGATCCAAAATGAAGGGTCTGACCTTACTATCGATGAGAGGGGACAAATTGAGGTTCTCGCAGAAGAAGTGGAAGCTGATGACGATGAAGAACAAAATGGAGAGGACGAAGAAGAGGAAGACGACGATGATGAGGACGAGGACGACGATGATGAGGATGAAGAAGATGATGAAGATGAAGACGATGAGTCAAGGTCTAGCAAGCAACATATCAAGATGCTTCATGAAGAGATCTCTGACTTGGAGAAAGCTGTCGATGTCCACAAAAGGGGTCTCGAATCGGCCACTCACAAGATGATGAGGATGAAGTTTCAGACAAGCTACAATACTTTAAAAGCTTCTTTAGATACTAAGAGGAGAACCTTAACTAAAATGTTAAATGATCAGGAACAGCTCCAGAGAAAAATTAACCCTACTAATAATCTAGAGCCACAATTAAAGGAGCCCGAAATCCAGGAGCAAGATGATGATCCAGATGATGACCAAGAAGACATGGCCGACGATGCTAATGACATTGATGACTTGTTCTAAATTTCTACCGTAAAATACTGTTTATATATATATATATATATATAATGATTCATAATGAATTCACCTTCACATTTGTATCCCGCGGAGTAAAATTGACTTTGGCATCGCAATAGCGCATTCGTACGAAAAAAAAAAAAAAATTGAAAACGACCTAAATAAAATTCTATTGTAATAGCTATATGGAACTTTGATATTTTGAGCTTGATCATTATTATAAAGCTATCTTTAGGGTCAAACTAAGTCCAGGGAGCTTTGCGTCCGCTATCATTCTAAACGTTAAAATACTGAGGAAAATTGTCAAAATAGTACTACCAGAAAGATAAAATACAATGTCTACTAACTCCATAAAGCTTTTAGCCAGTGACGTTCATCGGGGATTGGCTGAACTTGTAGCTAAAAGACTAGGCATGAATATCACACCAACTGAAATAAAACGTGAATCGTCAGGCGAGGTTCAGTTTTCTATCGGCGAATCCGTAAGAGACGAAGATATTTTTATCATTTGTCAAATAGGATCAGGCGTTGTGAACGATAGAGTAATAGAACTATGCATTATGATCAATGCTTGTAAAACTGCAAGTGCAAGAAGAATAACGGTTATTTTACCTAATTTTCCCTATGCTAGGCAGGATAGAAAGGATAAATCAAGAGCTCCCATTACTGCCAAGTTAATGGCTGACATGTTAACTACTGCGGGCTGTGATCACGTCATAACCATGGACTTACATGCTTCACAGATTCAGGGATTTTTTGATGTCCCAGTTGATAATCTTTATGCTGAGCCAAGTGTGGTTAGATACATAAAAGAAAAAATAAAATATCTGAGAGCTATTATTATTTCACCAGACGCAGGAGGAGCAAAAAGAGCCGCTGGCTTGGCAGATACCCTTGACTTAAACTTTGCGTTGATCCACAAGGAAAGAGCAAGAGCTAATGAGGTTTCAAGGATGGTTTTAGTTGGTGATGTTACTGATAAAATTTGTATCATTGTTGATGATATGGCTGATACATGCGGCACCTTAGCGAAGGCAGCAGAAATCTTATTGGAAAATAATGCTAAAGAAGTTATAGCGATTGTTACTCACGGAATATTATCAGGTAATGCTATAAAAAACGTAAATAACTCCAGACTCACAAAAGTTGTCTGTACTAATACTGTTCCCTTTGAAGAAAAATTGAAGTTGTGCCCTAAATTGGATACCATTGATATTTCTGCTGTGTTGGCAGAGGCTATCAGAAGGTTACATAACGGAGAGAGTATATCTTATTTATTCAAGAATGCTCCTTTATAGGATTTTTTATAAATATTCTTGTTCGCAATTGTCTTTACATCATTCTCATATATATTCTATGTGCCTGACTCATATACAAATTCACATTTATATAACAATAGAATTTTTCACTATCTTTATTAGAATGACCCAAAGGTAAGAATCTTTTGAAAGAATGAAGATTAATGAAAGATGTTTACTGACTGTCAATAGAAAATTTAAGGCATGTCTCTTTGGTAAGTACAATTGAGCCCCATATGCTCATAGTTGAGACTAACGTAACAGACATGGATGGAACTCTTTTAAATACTGAAAACCTCTACACAGAAGCAGCATCAGATGTGCTAGCACAATTTGGAACAGGTCCTTTAACGTGGGATGTGAAGATTCGTCTTCAAGGTTTACCTGGAATCGAGGCTACAAAAATTATTATCAAAGAATATGAAGTTCCAGCAACACCGGAAGAGTTTATGAAACTTTCTATGTCTGTCCTGGAAAAAAAATGGCATAGAAGCGCTTTTTTGCCCGGTGCATTAGAGTTATTGAATTATCTCGAACAAAAGGGTATTCCTATGGCATTGGGTACAAGCTCAAACACGATCAATTTTCAAAGAAAGACTAATCACTTGCAACATGGTTTCAAGCATTTTGGCAGCCATATCGTTACTGGAGATGATGATAGGATCGGCCCTGGAAGAGGCAAACCTCATCCAGATATTTGGCATGTTTGCTTAAACAGTATCAATAGAGAAAGAGTAGAAAAAGGCTTAAATGAAATTGAAATGGAGGATTGCTTGATTTTTGAAGATGGTGTCGTTGGTGTTTTGGCAGGAGTTGCAGCAAGAGCCTACGTAATCTGGATTCCTGACAAAGAGGCCTTACGATTATTAGCTGGCAAAGAGAAAGAAATAATTGCAGACAGTGGAGAGATTATTCTGAGCCTTGAGAATTTTGATATTAAATATTTAGACCTGTAGCAAAGTTGCATATAAAAGGTATTTATGCCTGTGCGATATTTTCAAGATAGATTTAATCTTTTGCTAGATCAGATGCCTTATCAAAAAAGGTATGATAGGAACTGAATCCTATTACATTGTAATTGAAGTACCGGATATTACCGATACAAGTTCTGAGAGTGACTATAGACTCTCGTCAGTTGAAGTTACCGCGATTGATTTTAAGGTCGCAACGACTCCATCTGAGAACATGCTGAAAAGTGATGCTCTAAGCATAGAGCCATTAAAAGCAAGACTTACCGGAAACTCGATTATTCGACTATATAGAGAGTTTGAGAGAATCGAGGGAATCGAAGGACTGTCAATTTCTGAGGGTAATAAAAATGATTTGAGTAAGGACGAGTATTCAATCATTGCGGATGATACTATGGTTTCAATAGTAGCAGTTCCTACGTATTTCACCGCTACAGATTTATTGGGGTTTATTGGAGAATCAAACATGAAGCATATCACTCACATAAGGATACTCAAGAGTAATGTTCCTAATCGATTTTTAGTTTTGATCAAGTTTGATAATGCATTCTCGGCATCAGAATTTCAGTACAATTTCAATGGAAAGCCATTTAACTCGATGGAGCCGGAAACATGCCATGTAGTGTTTATTAAGGCTCTTACTTTGGACTCTCCTTTGCCTGAGAATGATTCTAATGATGAAGGACGTAACTTATTAATACCATTTTTATTGCAAGATCCATTTACCCCTGGCTCAGTGTCAAAAACAATCAATTCATTGTCATCCGATGGAACCTTGATAGAGCTTCCGACTTGTCCCGTATGTCTAGAGAAAATGGATGCAACAATTACAGGTTTATTGACAATTCCATGCCAGCATACTTTTCATTGTCAATGTCTTTCGAAATGGAAAGACGACACATGCCCTATTTGTCGATATTCTAATAATATTTCGAATCAAAGACTCAGAAAATCATTCCGCCTGCTACTGCAAAGCAAATCGTTAAGGAGACAGCACTTCTCTTCTTCTGGGTCCTCATCGAATAATCAAAGTTCAGCTCAAGTGAACGGCTCTGAAGGTGATGTCTTCGAACGCTGCATTGAATGCGAAAGTGACTCGAATCTTTGGATATGCTTAATCTGTGGTAACGTTGGATGTGGCAGATATGCTCCTGAACAACACTCTTTGAAGCATTTTATTAATACGGGTCATTGTTTTGCAATGGAGCTTGCTACTTCTAGAGTTTGGGATTATGCAGGTGACAACTATGTACATAGGCTAGTGACGAACGAATCCGACGGAAAAATAGTTGAACTTCCCGAAAAGAACATGGGTTTAGGATCAAGCGATGATGGTGTAAAACCCCTCAATGCAAATGCTGATAAAGTAGATCAGGTGGGCTTTGAATACTCCCAGTTACTTATTAGTCAGCTCGCGAGCCAGAGAGAGTATTATGAATCATTACTACTGGAGAGGGAAGCCCCAAAATCTAGAAGACCCTCTTCAATAAACGATGTCTGGTCATCTTCTGATCTTCAAGCGAAAGTTGAGGAATTGTCTAGAGGTCTTGGGGATTTAAATGTGAATGTCATTCCATCGTTGAAGAAAAAGATTGCAGTAAAGGATGAAAAGATTAACGTACTAATGAAAGATCTCAGTGTAGCCAACTCTTTGAATGATGCATTCTCCTCTAAGATTGACTACCTCACGAAGATAAATGATGGTTTAAAGCAACAAATGAAAGACTTGAATGACGAAAAAACCGGATTAAGTGAGCAAGTCACCGATCTAATGTTCTTTTTGGATAGCCAGGAAAAATTCAAAAACGAGCCTGACGAAGTAAAAGACGGAAAAGTTGTTGTACAGCAAGGTTCGAGTTCCTCAGCTAGAAAGCTAAAGAACAAAAAGAAGAAATAGCTTTTCCAATGAAATTATGGTTTTTTATATTTGTCATCTCTGGATATGTAACTTTATGCAATTCTGTGCAGTCGCGCAATTTTGCTTCAATAGCTTCCTCCTCAGCTGCAAAAATATAATTTAATGCTAATTGCAAAACTTCCCAAACATACTCCACAGTAGACTGGCAATGGCAATTTTGACGAATATATCATCTGTAAGTTTCTTCTCCCAAGGTGTCAACAACATATCGAACGAAATAAAGGAACTTTGCAAGGGAGAGCAGTTTGATCATGAGTAACAATGAAGATAAGGAGAAATCAGAGTCTGACTCACGGCAGTTACCTTCTATAAGAATGTTTATGAAGGGGTCTTCGAATCCCTCAGGTAGGGGATCAAGTGGAGATGAAAGTGTTAGAGCCAGGCAGCTGTCGATCTCTTCTCAATTCAAACTACCTTCGGTTGGTCATAGTCCTCAGTCTTCAATAGGAAGTGGTTCTGGAATACAATCCTCGATAGGAAGTATGTCTGACTTACAATCAGGAATCCATTTATCTAAAGCACCTCCAAGACGACTGTTGGATAAACCTGCTGAAAAAGAAGAGGTCTATCCATTCAATTTTCAGTTTCCCCCACCAAGTGGGATTGAGAAGTATAGTCCTGTTCAACGATCACCTTACAAGCAGGAGTCGTTCAAAAGCTTTCCACTGTCATTCTCATCTACTTTGCAATCCAGCTCATCAAGGAGTTCAAGTCTGCAAGGACGGGAAAATGACTTTATGGCATCTATCCCCTATTACATGACGTTGTGTCACAACACTTATGAATTCTTCGAAGTCTTGAATCATAGGTATAGATGCTTACTTGAGAGTAAGATTCCAACCCCTCTGTGGGAGAATATCCTCGAGGGCTACTTAGACACGCCATTTGGGCGAAAATATGTAGGGAGAGACACATTTGAAAAATTTATTTTGTCTTTTGCACCCGAAGTCATTGACAGCGTAAGAGATAACCTTACCAAAGAAGTAGACTTTTTGGATCAGTTCCTTAAGTTTATTCAAGCATCTAAAAGTACGGTGAGTTTGACTGATCAGTCTCCAAGTCAGCGTATTGAAGTCCCCGATTACAGAGCACCAGAGTTTCCCTTTCGACAACATCAAGTTGAACCAATAAGTCCAATTAGTGCATCACCAAATACTCCAAGGCATTTAAAGAGGCGCTCGAGTTCTAAGAGCCTGAGGGGCCCAAGACCTGGTGGAGAGATTGTAGCGTTGAAAGTAAGTTTGCCCAGATTAGAGACATCTTCTCAAGAGGCAGCTACGAAACCTCATGGATATCTCAATAAAGATCTAAGCATGAGATCAGAAATGAGCTGCAAGCACTGTGGTTCCAGGGATACTCCTGAATGGCGACGAGGACCCGGTGGAAATAGAACATTATGCAATGCTTGTGGTCTCTTTTACTCGAAACTAGTTAAGCGTTTTGGGTCTACAGAAGCACTTAATATAATGCGCCAGCGCAAGGAGGAAAGTAGGACGACAGATAGACAGATAACTTGAATTTATTGAATTCATCTAGTGACAAATAGAATTTATATTGCAATCGTTATCTACCCATTACCATTTGTAGTTCATCTCATGTCACGTGATTACAATTTGAGAAAAAAAAATTAGTAGCACGATGAGGGCTGGAAAAAAAAAAGTAGAACAGTACCTCATTTGATTCCAAAAAAATTATTAGATTGAAGTAACGCTAGGTTCTACGGGCTGAGAAGATGGTTGATGCCACAAGATCAGAAAGGGACATGAGTTCCAATGATATGGCGTTCCCCAGAGGCGGTGCCACGGCTTTGTCGCCGTTAGAAGTGAAACAGATATCGAATGAGGTAACTAGCGATGTCTTGTTCGATACTTCCAACAATAAAAAGAGGAGCGGGGACAACTTTTCAGGTCAAAGATCAAAGAAAACAAAGAAATCTGGTAGCAATAAAACAGACTCTAGTCTGCAAAGCAATCCTGATATAGATATCCAAATAGAAAATTTCAACTTTAAGAATCTTATTCCTGGTTCGATGATTTTGGGCCGAATCACAAGAATAGGTAAGCTTGAATTAACATTATCCATTGGTGATAACTTGGTAGGTTTTGTTCCTATAACAGCCATCAGTCAGGAGTTAACTTCTGTTTTAGATCAGGTTGATCAGGAGTCAGAGGAGGAAAGTGAAGATGAAAATATCAACGAAACTGAAAGCAGCATTACTACAACAGCTAACATTAAAACCAAAAATGTCGAAATGCCACTTTTAAGCGATATTTTCAAAGTTGGACAATGGTTGAGAGCAAAAGTTGTTAAGCCCGTTGGAGAAAAAAAGAGAATACAATTCACAATCGAGCCGAATGTATTGAATGAGCAGTTAAGTAAAGAAGATCTTCAATCAGGAAATATGTTGCAGTGTTCTATTAACTCTATTGAAGATCATGGTATAATATTGAATACCGGAAAACCAAACCTTTCAGGTTTTATACCGAACAAAGAGTTGGAAGAAAATAAGCTCAGGATCGATGATTTCCATGTTGGACAAGTTTTGTTAACTGCTATTCATTCTCAAAAGAAAGCAAGGACAATAACCCTTAAATTATGCCAAGAGCTCACTAAGTCACAGAAGAGCACTGTCTCCACGATTTCTTCTGTTGATGCTATTCAGCCTGGAATATTAGTCGATGCCTTAATCACTGATGTCACTAGAAATGGTATTATTACGAAGGTTTTCGGTTTAGTTGACGGAACTATAAATTTGGCAAATTTGCATGACTTTGATTTAAAATCGTTAAAGCATAAGTTCGCAATCGGAGGCACTGTCAAAACTAGAATAATTGGAGTCTTACCTAAATCAGGTACAAAAAAATTAATTTTGAGTCAGTTGCCACATATTGTTTCATTGTCCAAACAAGTCAGCGATGTACATGCATTAGAAGCATTTCCCATAGGTCATATATTTCCTACTGTCGAAATTGTAGGAACTGATTCCAACTACTATTTCGTTTCATTCGGTTCGACTTCTTTATTGGGACAGGTTCACCGGTCCAAGACTGACCCCAAAAAACTGTCTGAAATTGATTATAACGTCGGCTCAAAGCATGAAGCAAGAGTAATCGAATATAATGAATATGATAACTTGTTGATTCTTTCTATGGAACCGAAGGTAATAAATTCAAAATATCTAAGTGCAGAAGATATTCCAGATGGTCAGTACATTGAGAAATGTGAAGTTATTAAAGTATTACCTAATGGAGAAGGCCTTATCGTCAAAATATTTGAAGAATTTGAAGCACTCGTTCCCAAGAGCCATATGTCTGACATCAAATTAGTCTACCCGGAGAGAAAGTTCCGAGTTGGAAGTAAAGTCAAAGGAAGGCTTTTGAGAAAGCAAGGAAAACAGATTTTAGTGACACTCAAAAAGGCTCTAGTGAGTATGGATGACGATGAAGTCTTGGCCGCATTCGAGAATGCCCATACAGGTTCGAAAACAAGAGGTACTATTGAGAAGTTTATACATGGTGGTGCCTTAGTCTCTCTTTTTGGTCATTTAAAGGCTTTTTTGCCTAAAAATGAAATATCTGAAACCTTTGTGGAAAGCGCTGCTGATTATTTGAGATTGGGTCAATCTGTTATCCTCAGAGTTCTTAATGTCAGACCAGAAGAAAAGAGACTTTTAGTCACCTTAAAGCAATCTTCAAACATTACAGATTCTCGAGCTTCGCTATTGAATGACCTCCAACCCGGAAAGACTATTATCAATGCATCTGTTGTAGAAAAATTGAAGGATTCTGTCATACTAGAAATAAACAACAGAAATGAAAAAGCAATTATTTTCGATGGGCACTTATCCGATGGAAATTATGAACAAAATAGACATGCTTTGAAACGACTCGCCATAGGTGAACTGATGGAAGTATTAGTACTTGAGAAAGATTCGAAAGCTAATAACGTCATTGTAACAGCTAAATCGTCGATGATAGAGGCTGCTAAGATGGGTGGCGTGCCTTATTCTTTTAATGAAATTGAAGTTGGAAATAAAATGCTTCACGGTTTTATAAAATCTGTGACAAACATGGGATTATTCGTCTCGTTTGCTGGTAGGTTAACTGGATTGGTCTTGTCAAAATACGCAACGGACAAAAAGAATGAAAATTTGTCAAAGAGATTTTACAAATATCAGTCAGTTGCTTGCAGAGTGATTAGGATTGATGGTGACACTAGGAGATTTCTTTTATCTCTTAAAGAAAATGCTAATGATTCTGCAAGTGCTGAAAAAGTTTTAAACCCAGTTGATATTTCAAAATCCTCCATTGGTGAATATTCTCCGGGAACAGTGACAACAGCGAAGGTAAAATCCATTAAAGGTACTCAGTTGAATGTTCAGTTAGCTGATAACTTGCAAGGACGCGTTGATATCACCCAATGTTTTAATTCATGGGATGAAATTAAAGATAAAAAGCAACCGTTGTCGCAGTTCCACAAAGGAGATATAATACCTGTGAAGGTAATCGGTTTTCATGATGCTAAAAACCATAGATTTTTACCAGTCACTCATCGTAATAATAACAGAACTACAATTTTAGAGTTATCAATGTTGAGGAAAGAGCTATCCGCTCCCACTGTACCTTATGAGCTGATTAACATTACAAATATAAGGGAAGGATCCGAATTGGTTGTCTTTGTGAATAACGTTGCCAAAGGATACTTATGGGTATCCCTAAGCCCAACTATAAGTGGAAGGATATCCTTTATGGAAGCTAGCGATGATCCTACGATCTTTGACGATTTTGAAAACAAAATTCCGATAGGAACTGCATTGAGATCTATAGTCAAAGAAATTGATGATGAGCACGGAGTTGTTGTCTTGAAAGCTAGAAAAAATTGCGTTACCTCATTCAAGAATGTAAGTCAAGACCAGAAGTATCCCGCAAGGGTTTTGAAAGTTAAAGAGTCCTTCGTACTAGTTGAACTTGGTGACAATGTTATTGCCTCCTCCTTTATCACCGATGCACTTAATGACTATACTGAAAAGCTTGAAAACGTTTTTCATGCTAATGACTATACCACAGCGACGATTGTAGCGCTAGATGAAAGCTCAAAAAAAATCGCTGTGTCATTACGAAATGAAGAAGCCAAGGACAAGTGCATTAATTCTGTCGCAGATTTGCAAAGAGGTGATGTTGTTAAAGGATTTGTTAAGAATATTGCTAACAACGGTGTCTATGTTGCTCTTGGTCGTTCTGTTCACGCCCTTGTTAGGATATCTGACTTATCGGACGCTTACTTGAAAGACTGGAAGAAATATTTCAAGCCATATCAACCTTTGGTTGGAAAAATCTCTTCTTGTAAGGAGGAAGGTCGTATATTGATGACCTTAAAAGAAAGTGAAGTTAATGGAGAATTGAACTATTTGAAGAAGTTTGAAGATTTGAAGGGTGGCCAAATATTTGAAGGTACGGTGAGAGGTGTTACAGATTTCGGTGTTTTCGTCAAACTAGATGGTACGATAAACATTAGTGGTTTGTGCCATCATTCTGAGATTGCTGAAAGTGATGTTGTAAATCCATCAGCATTATTTGGCGAAGGTGACAGGGTCAAAGTCAAAATCTTGGCAGTAGACAAAGATAAGAAGCAACTTTCTCTTGGAATGAAAGCTTCCTATTTCATTACCGATCATGAAGAATCAGAAAATGAATTAAAAGAAGAAGTTGAGGGTATAGCTTCGAATAATATGGATCATTTTAGCGAATCTTCTTCAATGGAAGACGAAGAAGGGGATGATGATGATGACGAGGACGAGGAGGATGAGGAAGAGTACATGAACACAAATCTTGATGATGCTTCAAATGATAGCGATATCGACGAGGATGTTGATGAAGAGGATGCTGAGCCAATATCATCGGGTCTAGCTACCAACGGTTTTGACTGGACCGCTGCAATCTTGGATCAAGCTGACGAAAGTGAGGTATCATCCGATGATGAGGACTTTGAGAATGATAGAACGAAAAAGAAAAAGAAGAGGACTCTGTACGCGCAGGACAAAACTGCTGAGTTGACCACAAGAGCGCCTCAATCGGCCTCTGACTTTGAGAGGCTTATCCTTAGCAATCCCAATTCTTCCGTTATGTGGATGAATTACATGTCTTTCCAGTTGCAACTCAGTGAAATTGATAAAGCTCGTGAAATTGGACAACGAGCTTTAAACACTATAAATTATAGAGAAGAGCAAGAAAAGTTAAACATCTGGATCGCTCTTTTGAACTTAGAGAATAGTTTTGGGACAGAAGAAACACTAGATGAGACGTTCAAGAAGGCGTGCCAGTACATGGAGTCTTACACAATTCATCAGAAATTGGCAAATATATATGTCTTGTCAGAGAAATTTGAAAAGGCAGCTGAATTGTATAGGGCCATGACAAAGAAATTCTCTCAAGAGGTTTCTGTTTGGACCCAATTTGGAGTTTACTTATTAGACCGTGGATTGAACGAGGAGGTCCATGACGTTTTGTTGAAGGCAATGCAAGCGTTACCAAAGAGCAAACATATAGAGCTTGTTAAGAGGTTTGCTCAATTAGAATATGCAAAGGGCGATCCTGAGCAGGCGAGGTCTTTGTTCGAGGGGTTGATCGCTGATGCACCCAAGAGAATCGATTTATGGAATGTGTATATTGATCAAGAAATTAAGTTGGGTTCAAAGACTACAGTTTGGGATCTTTTTGAACGTGTTTTGAATAAGAAACTATCAAGAAAGCAAGCCAAATTTTTCTTCAATAAATGGCTCTCTTTTGAGAATGAACATGGTGATTCAGAAAGTGCTGCCAAAGTAAAACTAAAAGCTACAGAATAT